ATTGAGGAAGCAGCTGAAAAGGCGAAAAATTGCGGCCTGCTGCCGGAAAAATCAAAATGTTTATACGAAAAAACTTACTTCGAATATATCAAATGGTGTAACATTGTTGTTTTTAATTTTTGACGTTTCATTATAGCCCGCTGGGTCATAATAACGCCCGCAGGCTATAAAAAGACGTTTACGTCAAAGAATTTTTGTTATAATTTTCATATTATAATGTCATCGTGCATAAAGTATTTTATGTATCGAGTTTTATTACGCACGAGTAAAGCTTGCGAGTATCTAGATTATCAATTTTATAAAATTTTCATTGGTCATTTCTGGACTTTCTGATGAAAATCTTTCTATGAATTGGTCAATCATTGCTTCAAATATAAATATCGTAGCATAATAAGTTTTTATGCGCAATGTATCCTTGGTTTCAGAATTATAATAATATATAAAAAAAGAAAAAAAATCATAAAATGCTGGGGGTGCTAATTTTATTTTTGGGGGTTTCCTATCCCCTGCAAACCCCCTCCTAACTCCGCCTTGGTGTTTATTTTACATTTTTTATTAAAGAATAATAGAATCATTATCATTTTTTTTTAATTGATAAAAAAGTATTCAACAAATATAAAGATGAATAAAAAAAATTTGAAAAACAGTTGCAGTTTATATTATTGTCAAAAATATAATTTTTAAATCACACGTATTGAATTTTAGATTTAACTTTAAAAGGAAATATAGGTTTTTAATTAGCATAAAGCATTTATTGCATTAAAAGGATAATAGAATAATAAAAACTTGTAGAAAATCGAGTTAACATTTTACCTAATTACCTATAATAAATTTAGTGTGCAAAATACTTTTCCGCGTGAATATACTATACATATAAGGAACTATTCACCGACTGCAAGAATAAACTAATGCATGGAAGTGTAGGTTTCTGTATAATTGTGGCACCTTGTGTGTGCATAAAGCTGAATTATGGCTACATCCAAAATTGTGACACCATACACGAGGTGCCACAATTTATTTCCTCAATTCTGGCTTCCTCCGGTCATATATTAAACTAATATTTTGCCAGGTCATTTGGTTTTGATATACGTCGGCATTAGCCTATCTTCTGTTGACGTTTGTGCAAAATAATATAAATTATTCAAATAAATATATAAATATGTGTATGTTGCCACAATTTGGGATATATAAGTACGTTTAATTTCTAATAGTTGTGGCACTTACACATTATATAGTAATGTGGCGCCCCCTTTCGTGAAAATATTATTGAAGGCGTTGTTGTCAGATTTACGGCAGCTTAACTTATATTCTATATTAACTGGTTGATTTACTTTGCGCGCACATCCAGACAAGCATTGTAATACTTGTGGCAACCTACCTATAAATATACAAATACCTATAGAAATAATATTTGTATAATAGTTGATAATAACATGATCCTTTATTTTCCTAAATACAATAATAGTTGTTATAGTATCAAACATTCCATGTAAATAATATAAACAAAAATACATATGCACTAATTTTACTCTTAATGCACATTTGCTTCGATATATTCTTTTTTGTAAGTTTTTATTATCTATAAAAATCAATATTTTTTTAATAGAAGGCCATGGAATTAAACTTAATTTAACTTTAAATTATTAGCTATATTTCCTTATTTTATTTTGCTTTAAAATAAAAATTAAGGGAACTTTTCTCTTGGTCCAACTATCAATTTTCCTATTTTATGTTATTTTAAGTTTTAATAGTCTTATATTATATTTTTAGCAAAACTTTTTATAAGGAGTAACTTTTCTTTGTAAAATTAACAATAAAAAAGTTCTTTCTTGGGCCATTTTTAAATTATACTACTTTATGACCACCCTGTACATACTACAGGCTGTCCACCAAGGGTAGGGGGTATTTGTAAGTTCAATAAAAATAAAACTACAAGTCAGAAAAAAATATTTTTTTTTAATTTTTAGACAAATTTTTGGAAAATTAAGTCCCAAGGATTTTGTTGTCCAAATGTTGACCCTCGCGCTGCTGGCATTCCTCTAACCGAAAACGGAAATTAACTATCACGCGTCTACTCATATCTCTGAAAACAACGGCCATTTCATTGGGGATGTTGTGCTTCAATTGCAGGAGAAAGCGTGGTCTATTTTCATAAAGTTTTTCTTTAAGGTATTCCCATAAAAATAATCAAGTGATGAAGGAATCATTGGGCCTTACATTTTTGAAAACCGACGAGGGCTAACACTTACGGTAAACAGGTTAACCGTTCACTGCATGCAATGAACGGTATTGCGACATGTTAAAGAAACTTTTTGATTCCACAACTGCAGAAGTTTGAAGGTTTTAATGTGAAAACATGGTTTCAACAAGATGGGCCTCTTGCCACCCCTTAAATCAGTCACTTAAGGTTTTCAATCAAATTATCCCGAAAAAAGTGATCTCTCGACGTGGCACCATTAACTGGCTTCCGAGAAGCGCCGATCTTACACCATTTGATTATTTTTTTATGAGGAAACCTTAAAGATAAAGTTTATAAAAATAGACCACGAATTTTCCTGCACAAGATCCTCACTGAAATGACCGCTGTTTACAGAGATATGTGTAGAGGCGCAATAGTGAATTTTCGTTTTCGGTAAGAGGAATGCCAGCTGCGCGAGGGTCAACATTTGGACAACAAAATCTTTGGCACTTAATTTTCCAAAACTGCTAAAAATTAAAAAAAAAAAAATTTTTTATGACTGAATACCCCCTACCCTCTGTGGACACCCTGCATTTTAAATTTTAATAGTTTAATAATATTTTTTTAGAATTTTTTTAGAATCGAGCACTTTAGAATTTTAAAACCGTTAAGATTTTTAATTTAAATAGTTTTCTTAACGTAAAAATGTTGATAGTAAAATATATTATTAACTTTTAATAATAAAATATAATATTAGTGTATTTTATTAGTACAAGATTTTGGATAGCTCCGTATATATTGGAGTACATCTAAAAGTTTTTGCTACCAAATAAAAAAAAGGTTTTACATTTTAAAATGTATCCAATGTTTAATATTTAAACTAAAAATAATAAAACGTAGTCTCGAGAAGCCGATTAACAATTTTCTGCAGAAATTTACCATAAAACGAACTTCCAACGTTATACCAAACTTGGCAACACTGCTAAGAATACACATGCACAATTGTGGCGTCTCTGTGTATTTTGGCCAACACATATATATTTGTGGCATCCGACATACACGTAGTCGAATGTTCCTGATTTATGGCACGGTTGCCACAATTTTAATTGGGTGCAGATCACTGTAATCGGCGTGTATAGCAAAAATAAAAGTACCAATATAATCCGCCAAATGGCGTCCTAAATCTATAGTGTTTTTAACAGAAATGCCACAATTTGGGATATAGCACAGGTTGCCACAAGTATTACAATGCTTGTCTGGATGTTCTTATACAGATATATAATGGAAGCACTTCTTAATACAGACATTTTTATTAAGATTTTTGCAGTAAGTTATGTAACGATGGCAGTGGCGGACATATAATCGGGCAGTTCGGTGCAGTGCCCGGGGGCCCCGGTCATATAGGGGCCCCCAGACATAAAGAAAATTCTAAATTATACATTAATAATAATTATTAATACACCATTTCACGCCTACTAAATTATTGAGAACCACGCCACCTATTAGTAAAGCTCGAAAACAAGGCGTATACTCTATGCGATGCGCAGAAAACTAACTTTCGACCTTGGTGTTACATTTATGTGCCTTGTTTTCGAGCTGTACTGATAGGTGGCGTGGCTCTCAATAGTTATAAATAAGACAATTGCGATTGGTCGGCCACGTATGTGCAGTAACAAACCGCGCAGTAAAGAATCTTGATCGTTGACGCATCATTGACAATTAAGAATTAGACAAGTCGTTTCGAATTCAAATATTTGGTAATTAATCAAGAAAAAAAGAAATAGTTGTTGGTTTTTATAATTAGGTAATTCCTTAATATAAATAATAACAAATACCTACGGTGTTTTTTAACTACATAGGACAATAGAGGTAGGTAATCCGATAAATATTTTAGCACTATGTGCATACTTACATTTTTTAATTTGTATTTAAGTTTTTGCCGCAAAAATAAATTTAATACCTATAGTAAGGTATGGACAAGCGCAAATATAAAAGTGGAGCCGAAAAACGTAAATTAAAACTAGAAAATTTTGAAAAAGCTAAAAAATTGCCCAAGATCGATACATTCTTTAACCAGCAAAATGCCCCTGGGCAGAGCTCAAGTATTTTGTCTTCATCGAAAGAATTTGAATGTCCAATCACCAATATCCAATCAGAAATATACAATCACCAATTAATATTACAAAACATACCTCTCGTTGGAACACAAGTTAATAATATTAGTTCAGACAACGAATCAGAATATTTAGATCACATTTCTACCCCAAATATCCGTCTATATATGTCTACAGATATAGGACATTATAAAAATAAAGAATTGTTTGATGATGATAAGCGATTTATAATTAGTCAGCCTCCCAACAAACCTAAAGGGCCATACCCAAAAGATCCAACACAAGGAAATAGATGCTTTAGCGAAACGTATTACTCATCAGTAACAAAATATGGTGTAGTTCCGCGTGTGTGGCTCTGCTACTCAAACGTTCTAGACGCTGCGTATTGCGTTCCTTGCTGGTTGTTTTCTTCTGGTAATAATCAGTGGCGAAGTGGATTGAGAGATTGGCAGCACCTTTCTTCTAGAATAGTTGAGCATGGTAATACTCTAGTACATCTCCAGTCATGCAGTATTTTTGAATTATGGAAAAAAAACCAAACCGTTGATAAAGAGCTAGAAGAAAAAGCAAGATACGAAGTTTCGTTTTGGAAACAGGTTTTAGAAAGACTATTTCGTATTACTTTAGTTTTAGCTAAGAATTCTTTAGCTTTCCGTGGTCATCGTGAAGTACTTGGAAACGAAAACTTAAACGGCAATTTTTTCACTATGGTAGAGTTATTAGCGCATTATGATGATGTGATGAAACAAGTCATATCAATGCCTTCAGGTTCAGTGCGTTATTTAAGTAAAACAATTCAAAATGAAATTATTCAGTGTTTTTCTAAATTTGCTTTAGAAAAAATTATTTCAAATATAAGTTCAGCTCCTTTTTTTTCTCTTATGCTAGACACAACGCAAGATATAGCCAAAAAAGATCAGTTAAGCATTATAATAAGAACAGTTCACATAATTAGAGATTTGAATAACATAGCGACAAGTTTTGAAATAAAGGAAAACTTTTTAAGGTTTTATGAATTAAAAGATCAATCTGCTCAAGGTATGTCTGAAAAAATTTTAAGTATATTAAAAGATCTAAATATTCCTCTGAGTAATTGTTATGGTCAAGGGTATGATGGTGCCAATGTAATGAGCGGTGCTTATAATGGCGTACAAGCCAAAATTAAACGAATACAGCCAAATGCTGCGCACAATCTTAATTTGGTAGTGAATGATGCACTATTAGGTTGTAGTGAAATTTCTGCATATTTTGCAGTACTGCAAAATCTATATAGTTTTTTTGGACTAAGTATTAAACGATGGGATATTTTATCATCGTTCACCGGAGAGTCAGAAATAACTTTAAAAAAACTCAATCCGACGCGATGGTCAGGGCGAATACAATCAGTTTTAGCAGTTAAATTGCGTTATTTCGACATTTTTAAGGCTCTAACTGAGATTGAATTAAAATCTCTTAAAAAAGATGAAATTGCGGAAGCCTCTTCTTTAAAAAAAAAATTAATAATTTTGAATTTATTTTTATCACAGTTTTTATGTTTAGAGTTCTGAATACAATTAATTTTATATCCAAAACTTTACAAAAAAATGATATTGATTTGGATCAAGCAACAAAAGGTTTAGATCGTGCACGTACAAATATATCTAATTTCAGAGACGCACAAACTTATAATAATATAAAATCTGAAGCCATAGATATGGCCATTAAATGGGGCATTGGTCAGTCATTTCAAGCAAAGAGGCAACCAAAAGTGAAAAAGCACTATGATGAACTTTCTTTTGACCATCGTTTTGAAAACAGAGAAGAATATTTTAAAGTTAATGTTTATAACTTTGTTATTGGCATCATTTGCAACCAGATTTCTAGGAGATTTTCTGCCATGTTCAATATTAAACAAAATTTTAATTTTTTGGAACCCTCGTATTTAATTAAAAGCTCAAAAGAAGAAATTTTACAAAGATGTGAAAAATTGACCCAAAAATATCCGAATGTGTTGACTAATTGTTTTGCAAATCAGTTTCATATGTTGCTTGATTTAATGAAACCTGACCTTAACGAAGGTATGTCAATAAGAGATCTTTTTGAATTTATTATTAAGAACTTTGCCTGTATGGAAGCAGACTTTTGCGAGGTTTATACAGTTTTTATGCTATTTTTTACTCTTCCTGTAACGGTGGCCTCTTTGGAACGATCTTTTAGTAAACTAAAAATATTAAAAAAATATTTAAGATCTACGACAAGTGAGCAGCGATTGCGAGATTTGTCAATATTGTCTGTAGAATATGAAATTGCATCCAACTTGGATATAACTAACCTAATAGATCGCTTTGCAAATGATAAAGTTAGAAAAAGGGTATTTTAAAAATTTAGTTATTTATAGGTGATTATATATTCTACAGACAGTATTGATACATCTCTATAGGTGTTCCTTATATGTTCTTCTGTTTTGTAAAATGTTTAAAAAATATATATATTTTCTATTAAATTAAATAGTCAAATTATTTGTGTATAAAGTAATTTTAAAAGGGTTAGTAATGTTCGTCTTAAAGGGAAGGGTACAGGGGCCTCAAGTATGATTTGCACCGAGGCCCCGGTCTGCCTAGATCCGCCACTGAACGATGGAGAAATTTAAAAGAAAGTAAAGTTCAATATTGCTGTAGTCATCCTAGAAATGTTAATGATCTTCGTTAAAAATAAAAATAAATCTAATGAGCTCTTCATATACATTGTTTATTTAATGCCAAGGATTTAATTACCTCTTCAAAAAGGAAAATAAAGTTTGTAATGAGAAATAAAATTTATTGTTTTGCAAATATTTTTTAATGCATAATACCTATTATTTGTAAATGATATAAATAAATAGGTTCAAACACTATTTTGCGAAAATACATTTTTTGAATTAATGGGAACCAAATCAAATTTAAACTAATAACCAAATATTTACTGACTTTCTAAGTTAAAATTTTGGATTGGTACCTGTAGTGTTCTTTTGTTATTTTTCAATCAAAAATTAATAAACCTTATGCAAAACTTAATTCCATTTATAAAATATGTTTTTTTTTTAATGTAAACGTTTTTCTGACCCAAATTTAAAATTAATAAATAAATATAATTTTAAAACTACATTCTACAAAATGTAATTGAGTAGTCAAAACATCACTTCGTTTACCATTAAATTAATAATTTATTTAGGTTTGAAAAATTAAAAAAAATATTTTTAGGGCGTATTAGTCACGGGCTGAAGTTAGCAACAGGTTTTTAGTCACTGAAAGTTAGTTTTAAGTTACTTGACAGTTATCAAATGTCATACAATCGTTAAAATAAACTGCCCTTCTCGTAAAATTATACAAAATGTAAAAATTACTTTATTATCTCAATATTAAAAAGCTTCAAAGCCAATATTTAAAAAGTTTTTAAGAACATTGTACTGACCTTTAAATTTCGCCGGCAGTAAACTAAACACCGTGAGTGTATGGGGCGCCGTTTTATTTTTTATTCAGGAATTAATTTTATGTGTTAACCCTAGAGTGATATTTTTAATTTGATAAAAAATATCACATACGAATTTTTATTCGGCGAATTACTAATATCATAGCAAATATTTTAAAATTAGATTTAATTTTTATGCCAAACTGATATTTTTAATTTAGTATATTTAAAATATCTGTTTCTTATGTTTGTATTTTTTGTTAAACACACATTTTTAATTCGCTTAATTAAAAATTAGATTTAATTTTTATGCCAAACTGATATTTTTTATTTAGTTAATTTAAAATATTTGCTTCTTATATTTGTATTTTTTTGCTAACCACATATTTTTAATTTGCTAAATTCAAAATATCATTTTTTAAATGTATATTTTAATTCAATTAAATTTTTATTTTATTAAATAAGCAGATTGTTTTAATTCAATGTGATATTTTTAATTCCGACTGATTGAGAGTTTGGATCAGTGGCGGCTGGTGGATTTTATGTATACAATATCTCAGTTATTAGACATGGGACCCACACCAAATTTATTATAGTTTATAATGACATTAATTAAACAAGTTCGGCGTAAACAGAATTTAAATTGAAGTTTTCGAAAAAAAATTAGTTTTTCCTGTCGCCTCACCCGCCTCCAGGCCCCCCTATTTGAGATCATTCAAATTAAAGTGGTGCAATTTATTATCTAGGTACTATAATTTATCGACAAATTTAAAATTTTATTTAAAAAATCCAAATATTACAGATTTTAAATTTTTATAATTTATTTTATTAAAATAAAAAAATATTTAAAATGGTATAAAACCTGTAATATTTGGATTTTTTAAATAAAATTTTAAATTTGTCGATAAATTATAGTAGATAATAAATTGCACCACTATTGTAACGTTGTTTCGGGATTTGGTAACGTTAGTTATAAATGGCGCGAGCTTACCTTAAGGGTAAAGTGGAGAAGCACCACGTACATGGGCCTGCTTTTATACAGTGGAGAAAGGATATTCCAGGGGTCAATTAGCTTATGTTATGATTAAAATGCAATGGTTTAATTTAATACATATATTGAAATAATAATAAAACTCTAGATATACAAAACAAATAATAATTTAAACAATAATGAAAAGTGGAACACTCAGTATATGAAAAGAATCTAAATTAACAAACTAAAGTAATATGAAAAGATTATAATATTAGAATTACATTAACTAAATAAAATAATGTTGACACCAAAAGTAAATTAATAAAAAACGGGAACAATGAATATAAAAACTGAAGGTCACACTTCTAGCAAATATTAATACGGAAATGCACTTAAATAAACCAATGCTGTAAAATAAAATGAAATTAAATATTACGGGAAGAAAATACTACGGGCCTTCGACGGGTTTTTAGCATAACGTGGCTCACGGGACGGGCTCTCGGGGGCCTGCCGTTTCGCCTGCTGGGTACTGTCTACGGCAGAGCAGATACCGAGCGGTACGGGGCGAACGTTGGCTCGGGCACGGGAAAATACTTTTCAATCATATCTAGACACCTGTTGGCGGGGCGTCATTACTTACTATAATTCGGTTTTCACGGGGTCGGGCTGTCGGGAATCAAATAGAGATCGGGAACCAAAGAGAGTCGGAACAAAAGAGGGTTTTAATTGCTCTGCTCGGCCTTTTATATCATCTCGGGTGCGCTATGGTGACATCAGGGAACCAAACGGCGCAGCTCCCCACTTGTTTGAATAGAATGGAAGTGGAATCATGACGTCGCAGATCCACTTGTACGAAAATCCACATACAGGGTGTACCGACGGCGGTAAATATGGGAAAATTAAAGTAACTTCGTTACACTATTATTTAAAGTATCTTAAATAGGGGGGCCTGGAGGCGGGTGAGGCGACAGGAAAAACTAACTTTTTTTCGCAAACTTCAATTTAAATTCTGTTTGCGCCGAACTTGTCTATTTAATGTCATTATAAACTATTATAAATTTGGTGTGGGTCCCATGTCTAATAACTGAAATATTGGTATACCCAAAATCCACCAGCCGCCACTGGTTTGGATACCCCTGTTATTCCAAATGATATAAAAACCGACCCACCCCAACAACAAACTAACGCGCTCTGTCCTTGTTCTGCACACGCTGGGTTAGTGCGACATCGGAATCACGTACGTCTTAGATCTCAATGATTGTGCCGCCATCTAGCGATAAAATTATTTTGTAATGCTAGGGGTGTCCAAACTTTCAGTCGGAATTAAAAATATCACATTGAATTAAAAATATCAGCTTATTTAATAAAATAAAAATTAAATCAAATTAAAAATATCTCCTATCATATTTTTAATACATTTAAAGAATTGTCATATATTTTTAATTAAGCCAATTAAAAATATGTGCTGAGCAAAAAAATACAAAAATTAGAAACAGATAATTTAAATTCACTAAATTAAAAATATCAGTTGGCATAAAAATTAAATCTAATTTTAAAATATTATATCTGCTATGACATTATTAATTCGCAGAATAAAAATTCTTGTGTGATATTTTGTATCTAATTAAAAATATGTTATATATATTGTTAACACATAAAAATAATTCCTAAATAAAAAATTAAACGGCGCCCCATATGAGTGCCCATAAAACATTGTTAAATTACCAAAAATTAAAACAAATATATTTTTGCAGATATTCGTTATACTGTGGATCTCCTCAAACATACAAGGCATATCATCAGAACCTCTAAACCAATTAAACAAAGTTCTGCCATCTTTTTCCGGAATAAACATATATCATCAAGTTAGAGATCGAAAACCAAAACCGTTTCATCGATCACCTAAACCGAGAATTCCGCATCACAATCTGCCCAAAGGAAGCTTATTCGAACCACACATTCCGTCATGCAAACATCAAATCGACAACCATGAAATGCCGCACAATTTTGGTGAATTTTTAAGCCCACCACCGCATGAACATAAACCTTCGTTTAAACATCAAGGAAAAGTATCGGAAGAAATTTACGATTTAATATTAAAACGACCAGATTTTTTTGAGGATTATGAAACGTCTTCAGAGAAGAGTATATCTTTTGAGACCAAAGAACACGAAGACGTGCTAAATCCAGTGCATATTCCATCTTTCAACAACCCGAAATTATCTAAAGATTTTAACAAAAACAGTTATAATACACCGGGAGCTCGCGATTCATATGGTAACCCAATAAAGAAAAATACTTTTATTAGTGGTTTTAATAACTACGATAAAAACTTTAGTTTTAACGAAGATGAAAACTACAACTTAGAACCCTACCTGAACGTCTATGATATACTAAAATCCAAACAACCAGCGGCCTTTTCAAAAAATGCAATACAATACAGTGTTGATAAGAAAACCGGTGAAAAAGTGGAAGATTACTTTGCGGTTAACTTTAACGTAGACTTTATAGAAGAAAGTAAACAACATGATCATCAAGACCATAACAAGCAAAATGCAGAACATTTATTAAATAGCAAGAACAGTTTTGAAGAAATACGATATCCAAATCATAGGTATGAAGTTTGACTCATTAGTTTATTTATTTTGTTACTAATGCTAAGCAACATTTTATCATTCCATACCAAATTGACCTATTGTGTTGGCTCATATTAACAAGGACTTTTCCGGATATATTCCAATATTACCAAGGAATGGTTTGCCCTATTCTTTTATAACATTTAAGATTGAAAAGTCAGCAAAATCCTTAAAAAAGTTTGTATTTGAATGAAAATCACAATACCCCATAATTGGAACCTAGTAAAAAAACCGAAAGTAGGGTTTTAAAAAAGTTCGCAATTTTTTAATTTAAATTAAACTATAAATGACGATTTATTACAAGAAAAATGGATTTTAAATGGATTTTAAACTACCAAGAACACATAATTACAAAAACATATACTCTCTAAAAATCCGAAAATACTGTTCCATATTATATGGAAAATTGACTATATCTCAAAATCTGTTTAACTTTTATAACTACATTTTTGGATTATGCGAACAATTTTATATAAGAACTTCCATGCTATTCCATGATATACCATGGTATACCATGGTATAAGTGAAAAAGCAGCCACTAAAAACTGTAGTAATTTTTGACTAATTCTTAAAGAGACCTATATGGATGTGAGATAAAAGTAAAAAATATTCAAATAAAAATTTTTCGAGGGAATAATTATTTTTTAGTTTTTTAATATTCTCCAAAATGGCTTAATTTATTAAAAAATAAGAAAAAGTAGTTTTTGTTTAACTGGAAAAAGGAGCTAAATATGCGTATTGTCAATTATCATGCAATAATATGGTTTTAATTTTTTCTGTCGAAAATGAGAAAAATTTGACAACTCTGCAGCGAGCTGTGTATTTCCTAATCCGAAATATCACATATCAAAAAAAATAAACAATGTATCTGCAGCGACCTACCTGCTTTTACATTTATGTAGTTAACAGATGTGTTTTCTGACACATAAGATTTTATTCATCATAAACTTGTTATTATTTAAAAAAATAGTTTTTTAAATCTTTTTATACCTACATTTATACAAAATCTAGATCCATTTTTGTAAGCAAAAATTTTTTATATAGCGGTATTTCAAAACTAAAATATAAAAATTTTGACTATACCTTATTTTATTATATTTCAAAATGTATGTTTAAAAAAAAATGTCGAGAACACGTTTGGTTGATTTGTTATGGATTGATCTACTGTTATAGCAATGTCTTATAATAATTCAATGTTATTTTGAGTTTCAAGAGAGTATTGAATTTTAAATAATCGTATTTTAAAAGTGATAGCATTTTAATTGTGTATTAGTTTTGTGCTAATTGGTTCTAATAATTGGTATTATTAAATTTTTAACGTTTAGCTTAAACTTTTTGGTTTTCATTAATTTTTATTTTATATATTAATTAAATCCTTTTATGATAAAATATTCTGTACATTTACATCAATTTAGTTTTAAAATATGTATACAAAAATAATTTGAGTTTACAAATTATAGCTAATTAATATTATTATAATTATAATTATTAAGCGTATTTCTGAATAATTTAGTAAGATTTCAATTTTATTTTAAGGATTGGAAATACAAATATTTCTATATATTAGCTGGGTTATTTTACAGTGTATGTATGATTAGATTAATAATGTTCTTTTACAATACAACAAAAAATCTATACAGCTGTATTTTTATAAATTAGCATGAAATTTAAATATTTATTTAATTATAACATTATTGCCATTAGCACATGTAAGTTCTACCTTTAATTAACTTTCACTTAATAATTATTTATTGCATTGATTTTCAAGTTTACGTTATTTATTAAACATTTATTGAATCATATTTTATATTTTAATGTGTTAATATTTTTTTGTTATTTATGTTATTTTGCATGTATATTTATTTTAAAATAAACTCTCTCTTATTTTAAAATAAATCAAAATAAACACTTAATTGATATTGTAAATATTTTTTCACCAAAAAAATAAACAACCATTTTTATATGTTTTGGTTTTATTTGTCCAAAATCGTTATTAAAAAAAGTAATTAAAAATTCGCGGTTTGTAAACATGCATCTCTTTTAAGCTAGGTATTTCTTTTTTTACGCATTACACACGCAAAACTGCATAATTTTACACTTACTGATTTTATAGGTTTAACAAGTAATTAAATTTAATTAATATGTGTTACAATGAAAGAAGAGAGCATGTGAACCTATAAATTATGATAATAAGTTTATTTAAAAAGTATAAATAAAAGTCATTTTTTATAATAATATAATTTAAAATATGTTTTTACCATTTATTATATATTTTATAATATGAAATATATGATACCGGACTTAAAAATCGAAAATGGTCTTAAAAATAAGGAAAATTTTAACAAAAAAAGTTAAAAAGGTAATAACTTAAAACAACAACAATTATATATTTTTTATTGTAAATATACGCTAAAGAAGCATTGCTAGCAGCGCCACCACGTGACCGTTATCGTCGTAACAAAAATACTAACTTTTAATAATCATCTAACAAACACGTTTATTACAAACAAGTGTTTTTGAGAAAAAGGTCGAAAAATTATAAAAATATCGAGAAAAAAATTTAGAAGGATTTATTGTGTTATTGGGTGTTTTTCGAGAGAAAATCCTAGGTTGAGTTTTTAAAGGTTTCCCAATAAACAGTGGAAATCCGAATAATAATAATAAATATAAATTGTACCTATTAGATACAATAAATAAATATTTTAGTGATGATTTACGTAAAAATTGTAAACGATTCAATTCAGTAAAAATCATTCAGTACTAATTATTATTAAAAGCGTTGATTGAGAAAGTCTCCACTTAACAGTAAAAAAACAAAACGGGGTATTATATGTAAGTATTATGTATTTTATATAATATTATGTTGCCATTAATTTGTTGATATACTTTTTAGTTTAATATTTTAAAATGCAGATTTCGGTCTATTTTTAGACTTAAATATCAAAATGTTTCATTTTAAGGTTATTTATTACAAATTATTTTTGTTGGATTTCTTTAAATCTCCAATCTTAAATATAAATTTTATTAGGTAAAGTTATCAATAGTTAATTCTACACCAACAAATATACGTACAAAATTAATTAATTCTACACCAACAAATATACGTACAACATTGAATCCCACGCGTCTTCGCTATCGTTACTAGCGAGGCATCGAAAACTACTCGTAAAAAACTATAAAATATTTAACTTCCCCTATCGGGTGCTATGACGTTGGTGCGTCATTTACGGACGACACTAAAACCTATAATCTTATAAAAAAAATGATTTGGTTAAATTACACTAAAAGTCGTACACAGTAAAAAAATGCCCGTGTAAATTTTTTAGTGTAGGGTTAAAAATATTAGAGTAGTGTAGTGTAGTGTAAAAGTTACACTACAAAATACAGTAGGTAGCATTTAGTGCTTATTAACTTTATTAAACACATTTAAAGAATATGAACATTATTCATTGGTATATGTATACATTCACACTATTTATTATTAAAATAAATCAAAAGGGTAGAAAAACTTAATGCGAGTGTTTAGTACCCTTAATGTGTTAAATAGTGACAAAATGTACACTACAGAGCATGCCAATTTCTTTGTCTGTTTTGATGTCTTATTTCTTTACACTACTATAATAGTGCACATTGTATCACAATTAAAGTTAAATTACACCAATAGTGGCAAAATAGACTGGTAATAACCGAAATGCCTTTTAAAATGTTTGGTTGGTACCTATCTACATACGCAGTGCATATCCGGAGATAACGCGTTGTGGAAGTGTGGCATTTTTGTTCAGTTAAATTTTAATTACGGTGAATCCATAAGGGGACATTCTTATTTTTTGGTAAGTATTATACTTCCTTTTTCTTTAAGCCTTAATACTCAATAAATACCAATATGTTAAAAGGATGTCCATACCCTGAATTATAATTAGATATATCTTCTGTCTAGTCTGACATAAAATAAATAAACTCTAGCATAAAGTAACGAATTTAGTTAAATCATTTTAACATTTTCTAATATTGTTGTTTGTTGTCAGGAAAATTAAACTACTTATTATTAAAAAATGTTGTAATTTAAAGAAAATATATATTTCCTGTATTTTTTTTTAATTTTCTGGAATTTCTTGAGGTCTGTAGATCAGACATTTATATTTTGTGCAAGGTATTAATTACGAAAATTTAAAAAAAAAAAGGAAAAAGGAAATTACCTAGATATCATGACAAACTGATGGCATTTCCTTATATTCACGGAAAAAGATGTATTCCCACACAAGAATTGTTTATGCGATTTAAGTAAAGTTTATAAAGGTTTGTTTTAAACAATAAATACAAAGCATTTCCTTTTATATTTTCTTAACATGCGCCACCTTCAACAAAGATGTTATAATATTTTTTATTCTGTGGGAATTCTATTTATATATAAAAAAATTATTACTTATATAAAAAAAGATGTTTTAGAATATTTTTTTATTCTGTAAATTTGTGTGACAAATACTCGCACCAGTGGCGGCTGGTGGATTTTGCGCACACCCATGTATCAGTTATTAGACATGGGACCCACATCAAATTTATATGAGTTTACAATGACATTATATAGACAAGTTCTGCGTAAGCAGAATTTGAATTGTAGTTTGCGAAAAAAAGTTAGTTTTTAAGTGTGCTCCCCCAGCCTCCTTCCTCCCAAATTAAGATAATGCAAATTAAAGTGGTACAATATTTAATACACTGAAGTTTATCGACAAATTTCAAATTTTATTAAAATTTTTTAAGAATTACAGGTTTTATAGCATTTTAAATTTTTATTATTTCTTTTACTAAATTTAAAAAAAATGAAATGGTATAAAATCTGTAATACTTGATTTTTTTTTATTAAATTTGAAAAAAATAGAAATGGTATAAAATCTGTTTTTTTTAATAAAATTTGAAATTTGTCGATAAACTTCAGTGAATTAAATATACTTTAATTTGAATTATCTTAATTTGGGGGGCAGGAGGCTGGGGGG